TTGCTCTGGGGCATCCCTCGGATGGGGTCTCATGGGGGATGCACAGTCATGCATGTTCAATCCAGATCCACATGATCAGAGTCTGCTGATCGACACAACACAGTACCTTCAGCTTCTTACATTCCTGGCGAGACAGAAAGCCCCTGCAAGCTGCTTGGAAGAGAACGATGTTCCGGGACACCAGCTTCTCTCGTTGCCTCTCTAGCCTGGAAACCACACCTGCCTTGAGGAAAACCTGGGGGCCAGGAGAGGAAGACACAGGTGAGGCCTCTGCCTAGCCGGGATGTCTGGGGGTGCCACTCGGAACCCATCTCTCTTCTCATGATGCAGATGCGGCTTAACAGGAATCTCAGGGCTGGAAGTGGTCTGTCTTCCTGCGGCTCCTCCTGCCTCCGGTCCCTGGCTACCCCAGCGTGCTCCAGGCATCTGTAGCAGGATAGATGCCACCCTAGGGCCTTACAAAGGCAGAATCTGGGGCTGGAGATGTGGCTCAGTTGGCAGAGTACTTGCCTAGCAAGCAGGAAGTCCTGGAATCTATCCATACAGCATGGTACTGCATGTGGGGACCCCAGCACTCGGGCAGTGGAAGAGGGAAATTAAGAAGTTCTAAGTCACCTTTGGCTAGTGGTGAGTTCAAAGCCAGCCTGGGCTACATGAGACACTGTCTCAAAACAAACCATGGCAAGAACACAAAGGAAAAGAAAAAAGAAAGGAAAGGCCCCGTTGAACCACTGCCTGAATCCCCCCACCCCCCAATTCGGGTGGAAAGTTTGACAGTCACCAGCAGCGTAGAGTGCCTACAGTCCTCTGGGACAAATTCCCCCCTGGATGGTAGTCAACGCAGGTTCTGAGGTCTCGTCCCAGGCTCTCTTGAGCCCATGCACTTGGGCTGGCCCCAAAATGTTCATTTTTTTGATCATCGACAAAGCTACCTGACAGATGTTCACTAAAAACATTCAGATTCGGCGTGGAAGCAGGGGCAGAGGCTGGGGGTGGGGGTGGGGCATTGCCCTCCTGGCTCCTGCATCCCTCCCCTGAGCTGCTAGGCTCCTGCCGGAGTCCACACCTGCCAGGCTGCAGAACATCAATAATGGATGAAGATGTTGTTGGTGCTGAGGTCAATACTGTAGCACCCCATGGGGCGGTCCATGAACAGGCTGCAGGGAACAGGGTGCAAAGACTCAGAAGCCCAGGGATGCCCATCGGCAGAAGTCAAAAGGCAGGAGGTTCTGGGGTTGGGTTAAAGGGATTTTAGAGACCCGAGGCTCTGGAGGCAGGGTGTGTCCTTGACTGCACACCCTACAGTTCAGTACGCCCTCAGTATACCCTTGGTCCACCTCCCTGCACACCAAGGAATGGTGTCTTAGTGGCGGACTTTGTCAGAAGGACCCAAGGGTGTCATCTTCTCTTACGTCACCGCATGGCCCTGAGTTGGTGACATTGTCAACTAATGGATAATGTTCGTCGAGTGCTTAGAACAGACTAGAACTTGGCAGGCAGGATTGCAGACGGTTGCTATTTTGACTTTTTGTTTTGTGTTTTTGATTTTGTTTTCCCTGACAGGACTTTTCTGTGTAGCCCTGGCTGTCCTGGAACTCAATTTGTAGACCAGGCTGACCTCAAACTCAGAGCGATCTGCTTACCTCTGCCTCCCAAGTGCTGGCATTAAAGGTGTGTGCTACCACTGCGTGGTGATTTTCCCATTGTATTGGAGGAGAGACAAAGGCCTCCTCCATGCTCAGTTACCAGTGTGCACCACCACGCCCAGTTTTTTACATGGGTTCTGCGATAAACACTTTAATGGCTGCGCTGTCTCCCCAGGCCCAGGCATCTACAATTTCCAAAAGCCCTTTGCTCTGTGTCCAAGCTTAAGCTCCAAATTGTCCCACTGTGGGAATCAGTCACCCAATTAATTCAATAGCTGATGACTCAGAAAACGAGACTCGAACCCAGGACCTGGGTTCACACAGCAGAAGTTTGAATTCCAAAGGGAATTTGAATCTAACTGGGACAAAGTTCTCCATCCATTCTCATTAAAGGGCCCCTGGGCCCATGGGAAGGTGAGAATGAGCTCCACTGAGGAGCCAACTGTTTCATAGATCAAAGAGAGTGCTTGCTGTGACCCGGGACCACCAAGAGAATCAGCCTCACTGAAACAGAGACAGAGCCATTCCTGCCCCTCCGATTGCTCAGTCATGACTGTATTAATTTCACAAACTGGTGAGTCCCAAGAGCTGCCATTAAAAAAAAAAAATCAGTGATCAAAAATGATGACAGCATTCTTCATCTATTACAGTAGGTGGCGGGCGCTGCCCAATCCAAGATTGATTAAGTGTGAGGCTTTCATTTAAAAGATAATTGGAAAGACTATGCCGAGGGTGGGAGCCAGTCCACAAGACCTCGGCCCTGCGGAAGCGGGTCTTGATCTGTGTGTCTTTTTTCCCTTCTCCTTTTGAGAACACGTAACCGAGCAGTCCAACTCCATGTGGAGTCACACTTGGTCAGGCCCACAGCACAAACCTTGATAAGGTGCCAGGGGCTAGAACAATCACAGGGGGGAAAAATCTAAAAGATTCCTTTCTCATGGATTCGGCTGCTTGTCGGACCTGAGCAGAGAGGAGCATCCTGTACCCCACCTCTAAGGAACGCACCGGGGCTCACTGCTATTCTTGATCTAAAAACCGCAAAAGCCACACTTTCCAAAAGGTCTTGTTGGGCACAGTTCCTGTGAACGTGCTAAGGAATGAGTTCCTCTTCTTGGAGTCATTTCACAGATGAGAGGAGTTTTAGTTCTTTTACAAATAACAACAACAACAAAAACAGATTTCAGTGCCCTAAAGACTCATTACCTTTAGTATGTACTTGTGTTCATCTGCATGCATGTATGTACACCACACTGTACACGCAGGTGCCGAGTGGAGGCCAGAACAGGGCATTGGATCCCTTGGAACTGAGTCACAGGCAGGCCACCACGTGGGTGCTGGGAACAAAACTCAGGTCCTCTGCAAGAGCAGCCGGTGCTCTTAACCAGCAAGCTAATACTCCAGCTCTGAGGGGTTTAGTTCTTTAAGCATTAGAATGTGCCTTTATCTGATAAGTAGCTTTACCACCCACGGATAGATGCATTCTGTAAGGAGCAGTCCCGTGGCTCTGCTAAAGGACCCGGGCCAGAAGCAGAGAGCAGGCTCCATGCTACACATGTGGTGACTGAGACAAGAACCAGTGAGGATGTCTTGAGCCTGGGCAGGGAATGGGGGCAGCTGCTTCTCTTTCTCCAACTGGGCTTTTCTGTGGCTTCCCACCTGTCAGATTCCACAACGGCAAAATTTCTGTACCTGTCCCAGGGCACCCAGACCCGTATTGAGCTTGCCTTCTCAGAGGTCACCTTGACCTCCACCACTGCCAGTGAAAACGGAGCATTGTGCAGCGACAATTATGTATTGTTATCGGAGGTTCAGGCTTCCAGACTGCCAGCCCCTGCTGCCGTAAAGCCACACAGTAGCTCCTATTCTCTCCCTTACTCCGCAGTGGCTGCAGGGGACTGCGGGGACCAATTTCTGTATTCATGAAATAACGGGGTAATTATCTAGCCCAGTGGTTCCCAGACTCCAGCACGCATCAAAGTCGCCTGGAGAGCTCGTGACAACAGCCACCGGGCTCCACCCTGCAGCTTCTGCTCCAGTGGGTCCTGGCAGAGTCTGAGGATTCGCGGGTTTGTGCAAGCTCTTGCGTGATATTTCTGTGGATGGATGAGAGTGGGTGGAACTGAGGGACGATCCCTGCCCCCACCCTGAGTCCAGACTATGGGGCCTGTGTGTGAACACACTCTCCACTTCCACCAATGAGCAGCAGGACCTCGGCACTGCTGTGGGGAGAACCTTGGGGTTCTACAGCCGTCACTCCCTGTGGGTCTCTCAAAATGAGTCAGTTACCCAGAGCGCAGCCTCCTCACCTGGGAGGAAAAGGCAAAAAACCATGAAGCTATCTGAAGTCTGTGGCTTGTGGTGAGAGCCCAGGACAGGCTGGTGTATTCTATCTGTCAGAAACATCTGCAAAGGACCATCGGAACAATCTGGCTGAGCCCACAGTGAACCTGCAGCTTGGACCAGAGGCCAGAGTGAGCTGCTAGTGTGTTTAGAACAGGTTAGTGAGCTGTGGGCAGTGGGCTGGCTGAGAGCTCACTGAGAAGACACCTGTCGGAAGGTTCCATGACCACGGTGTCTACAGGGAGAGCAGAGTCCTTCTCAGAGCTTCATATGCACCTGCGG